TAGTTCACGAAAAAACTTTTCAGATGGTACTAAGCTTGCCAGTATTATTATTATTACTATTATTACTATGTTATATCCTGTCATTATTACTATTTAATAGTTTGAAGGTTTATTCTAATTATTCATTATGAATTTGAGTGTTCGAATTGCATTGAAAGTTTATTCTAATAATTAGAATAATAATAATTCGAATAATTCGAATAGTAATTAGTATTAGGATAAATTAGAATAATTCGAATAATTAGAATAAGACTAATGATAATAATAATTCATAAACTAATTTGAATAAAGCGAGTGATTCGAATAAAACGAATAATTTGAATAAAACGAAAATTCGAATAATTATAAAACGAATAATTTGAACAAGAATTTGTATTACGAATAGAAACTCTATTAATATTACTATTACCCTGTTACGAGTATTGTTTTTGTTTTTGTTTTTTAGCAAATGTAAGTTTTTTGTTATTATAAGTAACGCAGATAAATCCATCTCAAATAAGTTTCTATGCTACTGAGTTCTGCACTAAAATTACAGACGTAAACATGAATGTTAAGAGAAATTTTTTTTTAGGCGGCCTGGTCGGCCGAGCCGTTTAAAAATTCCTTAGCCGGCTCACATTACTACTTCTTTCCTCGAGTAAGTTTATGAATAAATAATAATACTACAATCCATAATATTTATATTTTTGTCTTATTTTAATATGGATTTGACTGGAAATTAAACTAATGAATGTGATGTAAACACTACAGCTGTTGAGTTATCCAACAAAGAATTTCTGTTGGATCCGATAACGAAGACTTGGAAAAAATTCCGCTGATTCACTTAATACGACAAATTCTCTTGAAACTAATTTCATTAGTGATTTCATATTCCTACAAATCAAGGATCGGATGATACTCAAAGGCAATAAATACAGAACTTTCAACATAAATTTGGTATTATTTATTTAAACAACTTCGTCAGGAAAGCCAGCTTTGATGACGATATTATAGATATAGCAAATAAACAACAATTAGAATTAGAATTACGAAAGCTATCCCGATTCAATACAAAAGAAATAATTAAAGTTGATGTACATATTACAAAATTTAAAATCAAAAAACATATTTGGTAATATTTTCATTATTTATTATTTATAATGCATGCGAGCATTTTAATTATCCATGTAATGGTTTTTTATTCAAATTACTAAAAAAAAATTTCCCATCATTCTAAAAGATAAAGTATTGGTTAAAGTTTTTGTTACACAAAATTTTTTGGTAAATCGTAATGGTGGGTGCACGACTTTTTGCGCCACGATGCCAATTTTGGTTGGTCATGTGATATTTCCTAGTCATTTCATAATAATAAATAGTAATAGTAATAGTAATAGTTGTAGTAAAAAATTTCTTTGATCAACGCAAGAGTCTATTTTATTAATGAAATTTAGCTGTTTGTTGTATCTTTTTATATAAAGAAATAAATTCTCTTTTTATTCATCTGTGCAATTCACGTGATAAAAGATCTGCAATATAAGGAAAAACTTCAAATTTTTATTTTGTTTCAATTCGTTTATTTTTGACGTTAGCTTTTTTTGCGTGTAACGTGCTAATTTTAAGAAATTCGGTTAAATTTATGCAACTTTTTCCACAACAACTTATCAACAAAACCTTGGTATTTCATTTCCATTTGGAGGATTTGAAGGATCTACATCACCCAATAAAAAAGTTGCGGAACTCGAAAGTGTAATATTAATATGTTGTGTAATAATAATCGGCTAAAACATCCTCCTCACACGGAATCGACTAATTATAGTATTACCATATATTAATATAGCAATATAAAAGTGATTTTATGAAAATTTCATATCCATCCCTTAACAATTACCAAAACTTTATGTCTTTTCATTTATTACTCTAAGATGTGCGTGATATTGTATTTGATTATTAATTTGTAATCTTTGACAAAAATAAGACTCGAATCAGATTGAATAGTAATTGTTGCATATTTTAATTAACCCAATTCGAAGTGCATTTAACTATTTTTAAATGCCGATCATTTTTTGTACTTCCAAGATATTCTTTTGCAACTATTAAATATAATAAACACAAGGAATCAATCCTATTGAATCCCATTAAAAACACATTTATTGAAAAATGTAAAATTATATCTATTTATACAAATAATAAATGATCGTCAACTTCGTGTGATGCTTTCCTGCGTGGCCGAATAAAATGTCCCACATATTTACTATTCCTAATTTTCAAAAAGAGGACATTTGTTCCAGCGAAAAAGAAACATATAAGTTTATAACCAGTAACATAAAAAAAATTTTTTTTTAAAGACATTTTACAAAAATTTTTTTTGATTACTATTGTTTCAACAAAGAAGATCAAATATCTCGAGTGTTGTGAATTTTTAACATCCAGCATTCTTCTTTAATTACAATTGCTAAAGCACTTAGAAAAACTCTTTTCATATTCGTTTATATAATTTTATATACAGGCAACAAACACCACAATCGACTTCATTTCTTACCCTTAAACCACTCAAGAAACAAATAAAACATTGTAGATTTTAAAAACACATTCTTTGGAATCTTTTTTTTAAACTTTTCAGTTTCCATTTAGCTTTAGTTTTCTTGTAAGGGTAACTATTTCAATTTTGTCCTCAAGAATTTAGGATTTATATATGATAGTTATGTATAAGACTTCTTACCATTTGTTTTGCTGAAAATCAATGAAAAAATTCTCAATGGACACCTACCAAAATGAATAAAAAGCGATTGTCAGCCTGAGAAGCAAGTAACTTAAATTTATTAACATATTATTTTGGATGCTGAAATGGCGGTAGCAATTATGGACAAATTACAATCATGCACATTCTTATTATTGGTAGCCGTATCATAATTTGAAATGATTTGTGTCGATTTTGATCAATCCTTAAAAGTGGTATTTTTTTTTTTGTATTTACTATATCAGACAACGAGGCGATGGTTTAGAGCAATCATTGATATAATTTGTCTACTTAAACCTCATTGAACCAGTAATGAACAAATTTCATTGTCATATACGCCTTTAAACAATCCTATGAATATTTCCTAAACTTTGTATGTTCTATCGTTCAGTTCAATTTGTCATGATGACAATCAGTATTCTAAAAAACTTATTCTGCTCGTGTCCATGGCTTTTTTTTAATATTCAAATCTAATTCATTAGCAGTAGCGGCATGTAAGCAAATAGATTATCATTTTAACGAATAATTTGTGCACTACATGATATGACTATTGGTCAAATATATATATAATATACAGTAACTGTTGAAAAGGATTGAAGAGATGCTTGATAATAATCTTTTAACGGCTAGTTGGTAGTTACCAACAATTGATTAGATAATTTCTAATTTTTTTTCCTTGCTCTGAAGTTAATAGAACTTTGAACATCTAGCATTTTTGATTGTTACGAGCTTTTCTTCTAGATAAAACAAAATAAAATTAATACATTTAGATTATTAAAATCAAACATGTTATTGACTTCTGTAACTGTTTCACATTATTTTCTACTGTAAACAACCAATTCTGAATGATCTTTGGTATAAATAATAATAAATGAGTTTCTTTAATACGCCTAAAAAGACAATAGTAAAAACCATAATTTTTTGACTAGGTAACAGACAACCTTTGATACAAAATGAACAATGTCAATAGAGATTCCAAACACACACGAAAAAAGTTTAAGAAAACCTATTTTTTCTTTAATGGATGATGGGTGTCTTTTTTAAATCAACAATTTCCCAAGTTTTGTTTTCGCTTCTTTTCCACGGTTCATTAAAGAGCCACCACCTCTCGTTTATATATTGTTTGTTACATTGTTTTGACAAAGTTCTGAAAGTAAAATCGTGTGACTACTATATTCTACTTTGAGTTTATAGAGTCAACATGAAATTTTGAAAAAAAAAATAGATATCAAATCTAAAATTTTTATTTACCATCCAATCAAATTTTGGTTTTGATCAAGTACATTAATTATAATATATGCGGGAGGATAAATGAAATTTACTTATATTCGTTGTAGCAAGGTTTGACTGTATAATAATAAAATTATTTATTAATGAAACTAAGGTCATGATAAGATTAATAAAGTAATATTTGATACTTCGTTCTTTGTGGGAACTTTTTTGATCCTTAAAATGAGAATCGATCGATTCTAATGTTAACGAAATGTTATCAGAGTTGTAAAACTACTCACTGCCATTAAGCCAAAACTTTTGTCGACGATTAATTGATAATTTGCCAAAAATCTATTTGGAAAAAAAATTTTTTTTTTTTGAAGTGCCAAATATAAAAAAATACACATGTAATTAATAATTGGTAAATAACAAGGATTCAAATCAGTTAATCAAGACATGAATTATACCAACTTTCCTATCATAAAGGAGAGAACCGAAGCTTGATAATAATCTATTTTATCCAATGAATAAATATACAGAATATATATTTTAAAAAATAGTAAGATTTATGAGCCGAGAAAAAAATATTTTAATTTATTGATTTTTGTAATCACAGAAACAAAGTGTGTGAAAATTTATACAGCTCGAGTCATCTAAACCTGACCACTATAAGCAAAACTTCAAATTTTAGAATATCATTTCTAATTCAGGAAATAAAATTTCTTAAATAGGGATGATCCTCTTCTAAACTATCATCAAAGAAAAAATTTGGAAAAATTTGGGTGAGGATCATCCTTAATATGAAAGAGGTGGCAAAATTTAGTGTAATATAGAAAGTTACTAATATTCAAGTCACCATAACTTTTTAAGTAATAAATATTTTACATCAAACTTTTCATATAATTATTCTTTGGCATTTACTATATAAAACTATGAAGAGTTTGAGTCCAAAAGTGCCCCGTGTGTCCGTGTGATGGGCTTCAAAAATGCTGAATAAAATTGGTCGGTTTTAGATGACTTGAGCTATATGAAATTTATAAATTCTGATTAGCTAATTTGAATTTCATGTAGATTTTCACGCACAACAACTCCATTGGCTTAATATTTAAAAGGTATCACGTTTTGCAAAATAAGCCCTGTATTCTTCTATTATTCATTATTAATCAATATGTTCAAGATGGAAAGGTAAATAATATTCATGCAATCCAAATCTCAGAGAACACTCCCTAGACAATTTTCTGCCATTTACTTTAGGGCAGTAGCACTCGAAATCATAAGTATTGCACTAATTAATAGATCAATGAATTATTTGAAAATAGCTCTGAAAAAAAAATATACAATTTAAAAATTTACACCCAAAGAATACATCACGTGAAAGCATTACAAAATTTATCTCTCATAAATTTAAAAACCCATTCAAAATAAAATTATTCTAATGGTGTTTATTTATTAACTATTTATTTGGATATTAGGCATAATGTATTTTTGCATGATCCAATAGAAAATTATTCACCCGATCTAATCTAGGTGGTAATGATTCTATACCACACTATTGATTATTGATGCTATGCTGACATTTGGATTTATGTTGATGATATTAGTGTGGGATAAGATTAATGTTATTGTGATTGACAGTATTATTGCAACAATTCACAATCTTAATTTCCATTCTACAGAGAAGAATTGAAAGCGCGTCCTATAAAAAATTTGCATACGGAAATTCCGTATGAATTATAATTTTTATTGCTATGAAATGATTATTGTAAAAGATACGGAATTATTCCGGAAAAAATTGTAAAATATACGGAAATTCGCAATTTTCCATACACGAGGTTTTATTTAAAAAACGTATCAAATTAACTGAAATTACGTATACTTAATCTATAGAAATTTATATGTATTAATTACAATTTTTATTGCTGCAACACGAAAATTATTGTTGCACTTCTGAGCATAACTTTCAAATTTAAAAAATCTATGAAAAGAAAATTTGAGACAAA